ACAGACTCAGAAAAACAAACGACATATGCTTTCCCTCATTTGTGGATCGTAGCACCTAATCCTTATAAACAAGTATCCTAGTTACCACTCATCAATGTAGCTGCTTTTTCTTTTTTTAAATTGAATTTTATTTTTATTTTATGTGTATGCATGTATTACCTGCATGCAATGCCCAAGAAGGACAAAAGAGGCCGTAGGATCCCTTGGAACTGGAGCTACGGACAGTTGTTAGCTGCCATGTGGGTGCTGGGATTTGAACCCTGGTCTTTTGCAAGAACAGCCAGTGTTCTTAATCACTGAGCCATCTCTCTAGCCCCCCAAAGTAACTTCTTTTTCAACAGTCAGACATTATTACAGAGTTATACCACTGGTCACATATAGAGATTCTCTGTGAATTGCCCAAGCCTAAGTGGCACATCTAGGATGCAACCTCTGCACCTAAGACTCAGGGAACATAGAACAAGGGATGAAGAGAACACAAACGCATGTTTCAATTCTCATCAATGAAGCTCTCTCATGCAAAAGAGGGCCAGGAACAAAAAAGGCCACAAATGGCCAAAACACAGAGAATAAGAGTCAGGAGAATGTGGGTCCTTGGATAGGAGTCCTACAGAGGTCCACCCACCCAGGGCTCAAGGGACCATTGCAGAAGAGGGGGTGGGAAGATTGTAAGAGCCAGGGAGGAGGTGCATGACCATACGGAAATAGTCCTACAGGTGCCTGGGACCCCTGTCATACAAACCTATAGCAATGGTGCCAGCATGCACAAGACCCATGCAAATTTAGACAGACAAAAACCAGCACAGAACTGTGGAAATGAACAGCAGGTCCCAATCTTAGTCAAAGAATTATTGGCAGCTGATTACTGCCAGGTGAGAAGACCTTATTTTCTTGAAGGGAAAGACTAGATAGGCTGATTAACCCTCAGTGAATGAACTTGCATTGAGAGACATTTGGGGACACTAACTTTACATAATAGGCCTTAATACAAATGACAGAATGGATGAACTCCAGTAGGGGAGGGGTGCTATGGGAGGGTGCCAAAAGGGAAGGGGTATAAAGATGATTTTACGTATGAAATACACAAAAATTTAATAAAAAACTAAGAAAAAAAAAAAAAAAGCAGGACTGGGAAGATGACTCAGTTGGTAAAGCCCTTGCTGTACAAAGAACCTGAGTGTGGATTCTTAGTACCCATCTAAACATCTTGGTGTAGCAGCATGTATCAGTAAACACAGTACTGGGAAGCCTTAGACAGAGTCTTAGAGCTCCAGGTTCAGTGAGAGACTCTCTCACAAAATAACAACAACAACTAAGGAAGACACTTGATGTTAACCTCTGGCCTCTAACATGTACACACACATACGTACACATGTATCTCCCACATATACACACACAACACACATTATGAATTCATACAATGAATTCACACAAATCTAAATAAATATTCCATATACATTTTAAATTTGTCATATAACATCTATACAGGATGCACTTGGGCAGTGCATGAACCAGACTTGGACTAATGCAGAGGTTAGCATGCTGAAGTCTTGCAGAGCACAGCACCTGTGAACCTTGTCCAGATTCAGCTCAGTGAAGTGTCACAAAGTACAAGGAACTTTGGAACCACCCAAGGTCAAGAAATCCAACTTAGCTGAGTGTGGTGGCACATACCTATAGCTATAGGACTTGGGAGGTGGAAGCAGGAGGATCAGGAGTTCAAGGCCGTGTTCAGTTACATAATATGTTCTAGGACAGCCTGGGCTAAGCGAGGTTTTGTCTCAAAAAGGGGAAAAAAAGTTATGTATTTACTTTTGATCAATTGTTTTCCAACCAGTTTCCAAGAAATACCCTCTTCAACAAACAGTACTGGAAAAAGGATACTAACTGTAAAAGAACAAAGCCATATCTCTACCTCATACTACATACAAACACTAACTCAAAAATAACTCATAGTCTAAATTAAGAGCAAAACTATAGGACCAGGCATGATGGCACACACCTTTAATCCCAACAAAAGCAGAGGAAGGCCAATCTCTATGAGATAGAGGCCAGCCTGGTCTACATAGTGAGTTGTACGCCAGCTGGGGCTAAAGGGACACCCTGTCTCAAAAAAAAAAAAAAAAAAAAAAAAAAAAAAAAGTAAAACTATAAATCCTTAGGATAAAATACAGAAGTAAATATTTTGACCTTGTATTCAATGGTGACTTTTTAGACATGACCCCAAACCACAAGTTGACTAAAACAAAACAAAACAAAACAAAACAAAAAAGATAAACTGGGCTGTGTTCAAACTGAAACCGTCCTGCTGCAACCACCACCAGCTAGAAATGGAAAAACGGAAATCTACAGGATGGGAGAAAACATTTGTAGGTCAGATGATGGAATTCCACATAATATATATTGAAAATACAACTTCACAATGAAACAGATAAACCCACAAGAATAAGAAAAGGATCTGAGAACCCAATAACTCAAGTGAGCCACAGCAGAGAAAGAGATGCCTAACATCAGTAGTGACTGGGGAAATGCTCATCAAAACCACAGGCAGAAACCATTTCCTAACCACTGTGACGGCTGCAATAATATTAAAATGAGTAAAGCGTTGGTAGATGAGGATGTGGGGAAACTGGAAACCTTGTGCATTGCCAGTAGGAATCTAAAAGGGTAAAGCTACTTCCTTAGGGTGGTTCCTACAAAAGTCTGACAGAATTAGAGGATGCCCCGGCAACTGAGCTGTGCTGAGGTTTGTCTTGAAGAGGTTCATGTTGGAGGCTTGGTCCCCAGTGAGACAGTGTTGATGTGGTGGAACCCTGAAGAGGTGAGGTCTACTTACAGGGGCAGGACCCTGACTAATACTGTCTCTCAGAAGTGCCTCAGTGCATGGGTTCAGAGACTGAGCTGTTAAGAGGTGACAAGACCTCATATGCTTCCCCTGTGGCCATTTCCCTTTTCACTTCTCTGCCATCCTGTGATACAGCAAGGCGGCCCTCACAAGATGCTGAAGTGATGCCACTTGAATCTTCTAGTTACAGAACCATGAGCCAAATAAATCTCTTTCAAGAACTGAGCTCTGCTCAGCAGTTAAGAGCACTTGTTGCTCTTGCAGAGGACACAGGTTTGGTTCCTAGCACCTGCAAAACAGCTCACAAACCTGTAATTCCAGTTCTAGGGGATCTGACATCCTTTTCTGGCCTCCATGGGTACTGCACACACAGGTGCACTTAACATACATGCAGGCAAAACACTGATACTTTAAAAAAAAAAACAAACCAAAAAACAAAAAACCAAGTCTTGGGTATTTTGTAACAACACAAAACAAAGACACACTCCTAGGTAAATACCTATAAGAAATGAAAATAGACTCTGATGCGCTGAGCTAGGCTGACAATGGCTGACTCACAACTACCAAAAGGTAGGAACCACCCAATGTCTATCAACAAATGAATAAAATGTGGAGGATTCCTACAGTGGAGAGCATTCAGTCATGAAAAGGAGCAGCCTTCTAGTACAAACTACACCAGGGATGAGTTTTCAAAACATCATGCTGAGTGAAATAAACCAGACTCCAAAAGACAAACAGGATTCCTCCACCCAGATGGAATAGATGGATTAGGCAAATAGACCAGTGGAAAGGAAAGTAGACTGCAGGTCACCAGGGCCAGAGATGGATGGGGATTATTAAGTGGCTGCAGTGGTTGGAGTATTAGAAACATTTTGGAAATAGTGATGAGTGCTCGGCACTGTGAATGCAGTTAGTGCCATTACAATTTGTATATATAAATGGCTAACAGGTATATTTTATTTTATGTGTTTTACCACAGGTTAAGAAAAAAGATCCATGTCCGGGGAGATGGCTAAGTTGGTAAAATGTTTATCTCACAAGCATGAGGACCCGAGTTTGATCCCCAGAAACTTATGTAAAAAAGCCAGATGCCATAGTGCGTGCTTATAATCCCAGCATTGGGGAGGCAGAGGCAGGCAGATTCCTGGGGATCACTGGCCACCCAGCCTAGCCTACCAGCGAGTCCAGGGCCAGTGAGAGATTCTGAGCCAAGGGTCTTTTTTTTGTTCTTTTTGAGACAGGGTCTCCTGTAGTCCCAACTGGCCTGGATCTCACTATGTAGACCAGGCTGGCCTTGAATTCACAGAGATCTGCCTGCCTCTGCCTCCTGAGTGCTGGGTTAAAGGCATGTGCCACACAAACAGGCGTGCGCGTACACACACACACACACACACACACACACACACACACCCCTAAAGCAAGAGAGCCTTCACTATGCTGGCTGTAATCAGAAAATAGGCAAAAAATGTTGGTAAGGATGTGGAGGAGCTGAACTGTGACACATTTCTGATGGGAATATAAAAAGATGTTTTTGTAGAGTTTCGCTATGCAGTCCAGGCTGGCTGTGAACTTGTGAACCTCCTGTTCAACCTCCTGAGTGCTAGGATATATGCCACTTCTGGAAGGAATGTGCAATTTTGCAGCTCTTTTGGAAAATAATTTTGTAGTTCCTTAAAAAGGTTACATGTGAGCTGTATATGGTAGTGCACAACTTTAATCCCAGCACTCCCGAGGCAGAGGTAGGTGGATCTCTGTGAGATCGAGGTGAGCCTGGTCTACATAAAGAGTTCCAGACCAGTTGGGGCTACAGGGAGACCCTGTCTCAAAACCAGAGGCAGGCGGATCTCTGTGAGTTCAAGGCCAGCCTGGTCTACATAGTGAGTTCCAGGACAGAGAGACCCTGTCTCAAAAAGGCCCCTGCCCCCCCAAAAAAAGTTTATACATGGTCCAGTAATTCCACTGCATCATGTCAACCCAAGTCAAACGAAAACACGAAAAATAATGACTTATTGGTGTCTCGGAATGTTATTTTTCAATGTATTATATTCTTTTTCTCCCTATCCTATCAACAAATTAAATATCACTTCAGAGCCCAGTACTAAATAATAATATTTTTTCCTTAGTTTTATTGAGCATAGACCAAAGACAAAAGAAGTCCCCATATGACAAGTTTTTATTTGTATCAAATTACAGAGTACCGTAAGTAAGCACAGGTTATGATTCGAATCCTGTAACATAATTCAAAATTTGGCAAATCATTCAATTATCCAAAGCTCATCACAGGTCCAGTTGTATACTGAAGCACTTACTTGGAATAATTTGGCATGATAGACATTGTACCTTATCTGACCAATTATCAGGTATACATGTGCGACTTATCTATGTGTGTGTGCACACACTTGCAAATTAAATATATTCATATAAAAAGCTAAAGATTGATGTGTTAGGATTACTCTCTTTAAAAAGTTTATTATATTAAATTGCACCTGTATTTAAAGCAGAAATGTAAAAAAAACTGATCGATTTACTAAATACAGATGAATTTACAAAGGAACTGGAAATTAAATAAACATTTCTCTTGAAATGTTATATTCCTGATTGACATTTAAGAGGCAGTAACAAGCTATGGAAATAAACTTTTTTTTTTCCAGATTGCAGAGAGGCTAAAGATTCTAGGAGCAGTACTGCACTCTCTAGATTGAGAATAAACATTATTATAGTAGGAAAAGAGCAGATCATTTTCTTTATTATTGTGGGAACTCTGAGGAGGCACTCAGGGCTATGTCTACTTGCGAGCCTGGGTTTTCCTCTGTCAGTGGAAGTCTGGCTTCTCGGGAAAGGTGCAACCAGTTCGTCTGATTATGACACTTGCTGCATAGTGGCCAGCCCGGATGCATTCAGTCAGAGGCTTGTCAGAAACCAGCTGAGAGAGAAACCCTAGAACGAGAGAAAGGAGAGTGTGAGTATTGGGAACAGCATCAGAAATATCAAGAGCTGAGGGCCTGGTGGTACACAACTTTAATCCCAGCACTGGGGAGGCAGAGGTAGGCAGAGGTAGGCAGATCTCTATGAGATTGAGACCAGCCTGGTCTACGTAGTGAGTTCCAGGCTAGCTGTCTCAAAAAGACAGGAAAAAAAAAAAAGCTTCTTTTAAAGAAAATTCCACTCTCTCTCAAGAAACCGGTGTCCACACTTCAGGGTGTGCACTACTGTGCTTGCACGCTTCTTTCATTCTTAATGCCAGTGGGCAAATCACATTAAAGCTCTGCTTCTTACTAAAATCCACTTTTGCTTAGAAAAATGTCCAGTTTCAGGTCCATGGGGCTGGAGAAATAGTTCAGTGGTTAAGAGCACTGGCTGTTTTTATGAAAAATTACTGCCAATATTTTAAAGGTGAATAAGGGAATATTTCATTTTCCTCTAAGACTAAAAATGAAGGAACTAAGGCGGAGCATGGCGGCGTAGGCCTTTAATCCCAGCATTCAGGAGGCAGAGGCAGGTGACTCTCTGTGAGTTTAAGGCCAGCCTGGTCTACATAGTGAGTTCCAGGAGAGCTGAGGCTACAGTGAGACCCTGTCTCAAAAAAGACAGAAAAAAAAAAAAAAAAAGACTAAAAATGAAGCTCTCTCCTGGAGACTCCTGTGAAGTGAAGCACAGCATCGAGATAGACGGGAACTAGGAGTATGTGCAGAAGGCACGGCTGTCTGTGCCTTTAGGTGAAAGCAGTGGGTCAATCTGATGCCCAGGAGACAGCTGCCTGCATTTTAGTTGTCATAACTAAGTTGAGAAGTGTAATATCCACCTAGTTAGTTGGTAGAGCCAGGGCTGCTACTCAGCACTCTATAGTATCAATAATGCCAAAGATCTGAAATCCCAGTCTATTTTGGCAGGGCATGGTGGCTCATCCTGTAACCCCAGTACTTAGGAGGTGGAGGTAAGAGGATCAGGAGTTCAAGATCATCCACAACTACACAATGAATCTGAGGACAGCCTGGGTAACAGAGGACCCAGAATAAGAACAATAACACAAATAAATGACAAAAACAACACGCACACATATTTCAAAATTAAATCCTCCCCAAAATCCCATGGAATCTAGGAAAAAGTTATGAGCACAGAGTTTAAGAAAGTTGGAGGATGTAAGATCACTGCAGAAAAATCAATTGAGTAGCTATACTAGCATGTATGCACACCCATATATGCAGCAATTATATTGAATACCCAACAATTAAAAACTAGTATTAACCATGCACACCCTCAATCCCAGCATTCGGGAGGCAGAAGCAGGCAGATCTCTGTGAGTTCAAGGCCAGTCTGGTTTACATGGTGAGTTCCAGGCCAGCTGGGGCTACATGGAGACCCTGTCTCAAAAAAAAAAAAAGGTAATATTAAATACTATTTACTCACAGCATCAAATATGTGAAATGCCTACGAAAATATCTGACAAAAGTCATCTAAGACCAGCACACTGAAAACCACAGGCAACATGGAGGAAAGTAAGAAAGCCCTAAATAACCGGGGAGAGTGCTCACTCCTAGGTCAAGAGTCTGTGGTTTGATCAGCTTGGCAGCAGGTTTTACTGATTTAGTACAATGCCAATGAACTGACAAGAAGCCTTTAAAATTTATAAGAAAAGCTAGGCATGGTGGTTCAGGCCTTCATCCCAGCACTCAGGAGGTAGAGGCAGGCAGATCTCTGTGAGTTCGAGACTAGCCTGGTCTACATACTAAGTTCCAGGCCAGTCAGAGCTTCATAGTGAGACCCTTTCTCAATAACAAAGTAACAAGCCAACTAACTAACTAAACGTAAAGGACTTAGATTAGCCAAAACACAACTCTGAAGACAAGAGCTGGAGGACTCACACTAGCTGCTCTTAAAACTTATTATAGAATTATAGTAAGGCACTAAAGCCAGGGACACTGGTAGATGCCTATAATCCCAGCAGTTTTAAGATTGAGGGAGGTTGATTGGTCAAAAGTTCAAGGCTAGCCTGGGCTATGTAGTGAGTTCCAAGTCAGCCTGGGTAATAGTGAGACCGTCTCAAGACAAAATGAAACATAGCAAAACAAAACAAAGCAAATCACACCAACCACATCACATCACTATGGTGTTGGCATAAATATAGGCAGATTCATCAATGGAAGTGTACAGAGTGCACAAATAAATCGAATTCTAGAGGACCAACTGATTTTTGGCAAAAGTGCTGAAGCAATCCGGTGGAGAAAGAATTCACAGAACTGGATGCTGTATATGAAGAGATGTCATGTCAACCCTTACCTCAGGCCATCTATAGAAGTTCACATGAAATGAACTGCAGCCCTAAATGTAGCTGATAAAGGCCTGGTGGCACAGGCCTGTAAACGCAGCTACTCAAGAGGCTGAGGCAGGATGATTGGAAGTTCAAGGTCTGCCTGGACAACTTAAAACTCTGCCTCAAAAATAAAAAATTATGGGGAGAAAAGGCCTAGGGGTATAGTGGAGTGGTAGAGCACTTGCCTAGCATGTAAGAGGCCCTAGATCCAACCCCTAGTAGCACCAAAAAAACAAAAGCAAAAACAGAAATCCAAAAAAAAACCCCTACCAACTAGCTGAAGCCCCCCCCCCCCGCAAAAAAAAAAACCCACCAAAACCAAAACCACCATCATATTTGAGAAAATCTTAGTGAACTCAAGTTTGCTGAAGGTAACTTAAACACTTTGTATCTCAGTAACTACAAACAATTCAAGACAGGTGTGATGGCACATGCCTTTAACCCCAGGACTTGGGAGGCAGAGGCAGGCAGATCTCTGTGAGTTTGAGGCCAGCCTGGTTCACATAGTACCAGGCTAGCTAGGGCTCTAGGGAGACCCTGTCTCAAAAAAAACAAAAAAACAACAAAAAAAAAACCCCAAAAACAAAACCCAAGTCAATAAAAAAAATAAGCAAAGAGAAAACGGATGCCAAATACACTTACAAAGTGCAGCATTATTATTCATTAAAAACATGTAAATTAAAGTCACAGGTAGGTACCACTCCACATCCATTGGGATGGCTAAATTAGAAAGATTGTCCACATGAAGCCTAAATATGGTGGGTCCACTGGAACTCTCACACACTGACTTGGAGAATGTAAAAAAAAAATTTTATTATTATTATTGTGTGTGTGTGTCTGTGATGCATGTGTGTGGCAGATGTGCCATGGTGGGCATGTGGAGGTCAGAGGGTAACTCTGTGGAGTTGGTTTTCTCCATCCACCTTTATGTGAGTTCCAGGGATTGAACTCAGGTTGTCAGGCTTACTCAGCAAGCACCTTTACATGCCGAGGGATGTAAGACATTAAGACTACTTTGGAAAACCATTTATCAGGGTTTTTTGGTTTTGTTTTTTGTTTGAGACAGGGTCTTAGTATGTATCCTTGACTGATTTGGAACTTTCTGTGTAGACCAGGCTGATCTTGAACTCACAGAGATTTATCTGCCCACCTCTGTTTACCCAGTGCTGTGATTAAAGGCGTGTACCACCATGACTGGCTTCGTTTATCAGTGGACAGATGGCTCAGTGGTTAGCAGCACTTGCTGCTGAACTGGGATCCAGTTCCTAGCACCCCAGCACATGGTGGCTCACAACTGTCTGTAACTCCAGCTCTAGGGGATCACATGCCCTCTTCTAGCCTCTGTGGGCACCAAACATGCACATGGTACACATACATATATGCAGGCAAACAGTCATATACATAAACTACAAATATTTTTTTGAAAAAAGTTAAACTTGGAACTGGAAAGATTGCTCAGTGGTTAAGCACACTGGCTGCTCTTGCAGAGGACCTGAGTCCAATTCCCAGCACCCAAGTGGCAGCTAACAACCATCCATAACTCCAGTTCTAGGGGAATCTGATGCCCTCTTTTGATCTTCGTGGGCACTGCATGACATGCGTGCACTTACATACATGTGGGCAATACACTCATACATATAAAACAAAAATAATAAAATATTTTTAAAAAGTTAAACCTCCTGGGGCTGGAGAGATGGCTCAGTGGTTAAGAGCACTGACTGCTCTTGCAGAGGGACCCAGGTTCGATTCCCAGCACCCACATGGCGGCTATGAACTGTCCTTAACTCCAGTTCCAGGGGAATCCGAAGCCCTCTTCTAACCTCTGTGGCATTGTACAACACGGGTGTGCTCACATACATGCAGGCAACACACTCATACACATAAAGAAAATATTAAAAAAAAAGCTGAACTTCCTATGACTCAGTCATTTTATCTCTAGCTATTTACCCACAGTAAGAGTGCATACAACCACAGACTTGTAAATGAACATTCACAGCACCATTTTCTGTGAGCCTGGAAGTGAAGGCAATCCAGGTGGGTGAGAAGGTGGCAGGAAGGCAGGGCTACGAAAGGGCTTGGGAATGGTGGGTATGCCCATAGGGGTGGGCATAGCATACATCAAAATTTATAAACTCTTTATTTTAAATATACGTGCTTTAGCCGGGTGTGGTGGCCCATGCCTTTAGTCCTAGCACTTGAGAGGCAGAGGCAGAGGCAGGAGGATCTCTGTGAGTTCGAGGCCACGCTGGCCTCCATAGTGAGTTCCAGGCCAGCTGGGTCTACAGGGAGACCCTGTCTCAAAAAAGACCAAAAAAGAAAAAAAAAAAGTGTGCTTTACTGAATGCCAACTATACACTGCGATGAAACTGAGAAAGAGAGAAAGAAAAAAAGAAATATAGAAAAAGGAAAAAAGGTGTAGTTACAAACAAGATAGGTCAAAACCAGAAAATCCTGTGCTACTTTCCCTTAGGGGAAACGAGCTGTGGCACTTGAATACTCAGGACAGAGGGGAATGAGAAACGGTTCTGCAGTTGTAGGCCTTCCCTTAGGCCCTGGGCAGCCCAGGGAGGAGGGCGGAATTGAAGGTTAATTGAGAAGCTGTGGTGCAATGGCCTGCAGAGAGCAT